ATACATAGATCAATGAGCCCAGGATATATACATTCTACGTATATGATAACAAAACTGTGTTCCCAATGCTGCCAATAACAAAACAAATATTGTCACACAAGAACACAGAGCACCTTTAATTCTGCGGTATTTGCCAAATAAGCATACCAAGTTGGTGTATCCTGTTCCTGAGAGATAGCACGCTGTAATAACAAACAAAAGGTACTGCAGATTTCCCTGGATTTTCTTTCCAAATTTGCTTTTTGTTTCAGACTATACCTTTGATGTTTGAAATGCCCGCTGCTGTTGAACTATCCCCCTTACTTTTGGGGGGAGGGGGATACTTTTCTATAAGACCAAACAACCAATCTTCATCTGTATCTAACACCCGGTTTACACGGCGACAAAATCTGTGCGTACGAAAATGGCGTACGCAAATTTCGTACGAAAATTGCGTACGCAAAGGTTTTCCCTCCGTGTAAACAGGTCCCAATTTGCGTACGCAAGTTTCGTACGAAATTTTCGTACGCCCAGCGGGGAGTTTTTATGACTTTTCGTGCCTCCGGGCGTCGTGTAAACAGGACTGATCGTACGCACGCACTTCCCTGATGCAGGATGTCAGGGGTCATATGCAAATTCCCTATATTTTTCACATTTTTCAGAGTATTTTGATCACATTTGATTGTTTGGATATTGGTAAGCCTGTTTACCATTCACTGGCCATGGAGGGACGCAATAGCGCGAATTGGAGCACTGCGGCGAGGAGACTCGCTGCTTGATCGGTCTCTGGAGCAACAACCGAATCAAAAACAAGATGAACTCGGTGAAGAGAAAGGAGGCATACGAGGAAATCGCGCGGGGGATGAGGGAACAGGGATACTAGTAGCAGGACGCTGAAACAGGGAAGAAAGAAGAAAATCAGCGACCTGATGTACATGTAGGCAGAAGGACAACAACAACCGTAGTGGGAGGGGGGAGAAGTAACTGGGAGTACTTCGATCTCCTTGACGGCTTCTTTGGGGCCGCCATGCCACCGAACCGGTGTTCCCGACGCAGCGGGAGTCTCCAGCAGTCCCGCTCGATGCGTGTAAACAGAAACGAACGTACGCTCGCGTGCGTACGCAATTTTCGTACGCACGGATTTTGTCGCCGTGTAAACCGGATGTAAATCAGATCAAATGTTGGACAAAAATGACGTCCCCACTCCTTCAGTAATTTTAAGAACACTCCCACGGATATCTTCTTCTACCAACCATACCTCAACTTCAAACTTCAAACCCGTCGTTGCTTCCTTGCCCTCTGGCAGGAGAGATGTTGTCGAACCGTGCCACGTTGCACTGACATAATTGGCACCTCTGCTGTTGTTATGGTAACAGGGATGCCATGACCTTCTCCATCACCCTGACCCTCCCTGCTTTCCGCCACCCCCCTCCCGGGCCTCCAAACCCTCCTGATTTACGGCCTGGCCCTAAATAAACCCTTCTCGGAGAGGTTATCTTTTCGTACAATGGAAGGTTAACAAACGTCTGGAGGAGGCCTGGGATATTGGCTGACTGAGTGGCACTGTTTGTCTGGACCTGACCTTTCCCACTCAAACGCTTCACCTTTCATCAACAGTCTTACTTCTACTTACATGGAGGAAGAGGACTCTTGGCAGATATTCCTACAACATGATCGTTTAATGGAATATCTTGTAATGAAATTTGGTTGTTGCAGCAGGAATGTCAGTAATGACAGGAATTTATGTTCCCGTGTCCGAATGCATTTTTTAAACGTGAAAACACCTGCATACTGAAAGTTCACCTTCACACCACATGCATCAAAGTCAAGATCTGACAAACTGGCAGCCGTTTTAGGAGCAGACTGACTGCAAAATCGGCAATTAGGAGCCAATTTTGCAGAATGGCGCTGTTAGGCAATTTCACGAGTGCCTCAAGGAGAAGACAAACATCGTTACTAGAATGTTTCTGTGCATTAACGAGATTATCAAGGATACTTGACTAAAAGTTTCATGTGAAAAACATGACTGCTGTATATATTTTTAGCGTGCTTGAGAGCATTTTATTTTCCTTGTTGCTCATCGAAGGACGGCTGAAAGATACATGCTGATTTAGTTTATCTGTCTGAGCCTGTGCCTGGGAACTGTTAGTCTAAACATGACTAACTAACATAGCACTGATCCATGAGACACACTCAGGCTTGGCAAACAACAACCATCTGCACGGAGATGTTTCTGTACATCTGACACCACCGAGTTGGAAATTTACTTGGGAGTTCAGCAGAAAGGAAAACAGGTTAAATGTACCTCCATGTCTGTGCAAGTCTCCTACACAGAGTAGGGGCCTTTATTTAGGTAAACCCACGTTGGCATCAAAATAACAAGCGTTTACCAGGAGTTCTAAATGAGGGTTGAAGTGTTTTAAAACCAGCCATTTTCACCATATGTTTTAGTTTGGGCGAAGTCAAACAAGCAAGCCACATCTGACAAAAGACACCCAACAATTATGGCATCAAGCATCAGTAAACCTACGCTGACGGAAGCCATTTTTGCCTGGGGCAGTTTAACGGCTGGAAAAAGATAGAACACTGCACAATGACGGGCCTATTCTCTGCGACGATCCGATAAACTTTAAAAATCCGCTCTAACCCCCCATGAGACCTCTGGACAACTTGATGCGAATGTTAGTTGGCAGAGGGGACTGTAGTTACATCAAACTGGTGTGCCATTAACGTCAAATTCTATTCAACTTTCAACATCGTCATCCCTGTAACTTTGGGAGGTGGTTGAACAATGTCAGCCTCATGTCGTTATAAGATAAATTACTGTCTAATTAACACAGCAGGTAAAAGCAAAACCACCAATAATATCACTTACCTTTGATCAACTTATATTTACAATGTAATCGATATGAATATGGAAACATAGGCATACACCACACTCACCTGCCCCTTTTCCTTTTCCACTTTCTTGAAGCACTTGTTCAACGACAAGTTGTGCCTAACAGAATTTTTCCACCCCGTCGGTGCATTCACAAAGTATGGAAAGTGCTCCAGAATCCAGTTGTAGATTTCCTTGACTGGCAGTCTCTTACTGGGCGAGTCCTCGATCGCCATGAATATTAAACAACTGAAGGAGTAGGGAGGTTTGCTATTTCTGTGTTGGTGTGCATCGTAGGGTATATCTGCCGGGGTGGGCAGGGATGCCGTGGTGTGGTTGCTGGGTTTGAGGGGGCTCATGGTCCCCCCCAGCTCTCTGGTGGGGCGTGCCACACAGGCTGCCTCCCGTTTCCACATTTACCGACTTCAGCACGTCGCTGCTGTGCAGCCAGTTCAAGTTTGTCAGTTCGTCGTCGTCGATTGCACCTTTCTCCAAAGAGATCGCGGGAAAGCAGCTCATGTTCAAGTCCAGGTCGGGGTTCTGTAGCGCCTGGGCCAGGGTCGTGCTCGGACAGCTCTGACTCAGTCCGCTGCCTTCCAGCGCCCGCCGGATGATGGAGCCTTCTGGCTTGCGATCCGGTGGCATGTCTGCTCGTGTTTACTGTCTGTCACCTGAGGGAACAAGAGAAAACACCATGAATTATGCATCCCACAATCAGCCGTCGCGCAAATGATTAGCAAATGAGAAGCTGACGGTGGCGTCACTGCCATGGCAACAGGCGGTGTGGCTTCATCAATTACCATGCCAACGCAGGGCGGGACGAGATACCTCAGGTACAAAATATGCCCTCTCCTTTCACCGATGAATCCCACGCGTTGACCTGTGAGTCCAAATTGTGTAATCGTTGTGTGACGCGCCTACAGTTGCGTTCCTGCCTCTGGCTAGTGGAAATACAGGAACAACCGGGGAGGGGGCTGCACAATACGGACTGGAAGCCCTACAGTGTAAACAACCTTGTAGTTTATTTACACTTTGACCAAGACCCCAAAATGCCATCACTTCAACAGCAATTCAGAAGGTTATTCAAACAGAAATCTTTACCCTCTCAGTCAAGGAGGGGGAAATACAAAATATACACAGAGCGGAGAAATATGAGAGTGCTGTTTCAGCCCGTGTACAGACCACATGAGGCTCCCGCCCGCATGGCTTGGCTGCACGTTACTTAAGTTTTATCCGCCCGAGTGAGCACGCAAGTGTGCTCCCCGTAATACCCCAGAACAAAGCTTCGCCTGGCTCAAATGTCCGCAGACAGAACAGCCACATGTTGCAGTGGCTGATTCACTCATGTTTACATCTGCTATTAGAACAGACAGATGATACCACAGAATGTAACTTTTCAATACACACATGTTTCAGTCAGATGGTGACACTATTGTCAACATAGAAAACCACATCATTATCCACCAACACATTTGTCTAGTATGTGCCTAATATCATCTTACATCATGAATACCTCAAAAATAACATTTTGTTACTATATCAATAGCTTGAATCAACTAAATAACGCCATATTTTAGTCAGGTATTAATAAGATCAACAATCAAATCCCTATGCATTGATGCATTATCTTTAGCCACAACACACTATGACCTGATAAAAGGGCTGACATTAGGGCTGTATACCTAACACCTGTACATGTACCGGTAGGTACTGGTCAACATCTGAACATATGAAGCACCTGTACAAAACACCTGTGCAGAACAATTTTTTTACAATAAAGATAGGTAAATTTCATGACAGTTTAGCACTTGATAATCAGAAATCTGGTTTCTGAAAGAATCAGGATATAATCTAAATGGACTGATTCTGATTTCAAACCTATATTGTGCTGCAGGTGGGGATCTAGGGAAGCTTCTCACATGCACAAGGTTTGGCGTGGGTACACACACCGTACCAGCGTGGGTACACCATATATACCGGTATGGGTACACCTTTCCAGCGTGGGTATACCCTTCCAGCGTGGGTACACCTTAACAGCGTGGGTACACCTTAACAGCGTGGGTACACCTTACCAGCCTGGCAAAGTCTTCAAATAAATGCTCTACTCAAGGTCTCACATTGGTCATCTATTGTAACAACACAAAGTTTAAACTACCCTAGAATCTGCCTTGATAAAAGTTAAAACCAGGATCAAACAAACCAATCTGATCCAAATCTAAACTGGGTTAAAGACAGCTCATACAGTGGAATTTGCGGTACTTTATGTGGAGTGTTGTGGTCAAGGGTGACAAAGTCTACAGTAGCCAACTACAGAACAAACAGCACATGTCAACTTCAATGGGAAAAACTAATAACCGATGCAGCTGGCCAGGATTTGCATTAGACATTGTTTTACACAAAGATTGGTAGTCGGTAAAAATGTAACAGAAGAACTGATGTTGTTGAAGTTTCATTGACAGTAAAACCTGCTTCAATCACATGTTTACAAAGTGAGTATATCATTTCTTATTCACTGCCTCCAGAGCTCCTTTCATACAATGAACTTTAAGTTTAACTTAACTTTATTAGTTCGAGAGACTGTTAGGTCCTACTACCACTAATTGCAATGGACAAACATTATACCAGTCAGAAACACTTCACGCACTTAAATATGGCCACACAGAATACCAAATTTTGCAAACAAGTTCAAGAACCTATAACTTCAAAACAAACTTCAACTGATCAGGAAAACTCAATTTCAACTCCAAGGAATATCATGAGTCTTGATACATTTGAGAAACCTACAAGGGTTCTAGCAATGTCGTGTAGTTATTGATCTCAACAAGGAAATTCCTTATAGAAGACACTCCCTACTCCTTGCTGCGATACGAGCACCTGCATAGGAATATGTGAAATCCAATTTCAATTAGAGCCAATAGGAGAATACAAGTGTAAAAGCCAATGATATGTACATCATTTTTCATTAAGTAGCACAGTTGTCAGAGTCATAAATCAGCAGTACCTGTTTTAATATGTGGAGAAAGAAATATGCCATATGACTAAAAAGTAACTATTTTATCTTCTATTTAAAACATAATAAACTGAATCATCTCAAGTTACTGGTGTACTACTTACTTTTTTTACTTGCATATGAATAAGATTTAATAAGCGTTCCCTGAAGCACTTAGTAGCAAGCTACCTGCATGTACAATTCCTTTTACATCATCCGATGTAGCCATTATATTTCTACAGCTTAAATAGGTGAAGAATGCTTCTAAATCCTAAGGCAAATTTGCAATACCTTTAGAATAAGGGATGTCTACTGCATCAATGGATTAGCAACATACCAGCTGGGATGGTGAGGGGAGATTGTGGTCTACGTTGGCAATACTCAAAAAAGAAAGATAAATCCTACAGCAAGAACATCTCAAAAGTAGCCCTGGATAGACTGCACGCACCCAAGAAGAAAAGAGCTGCTAAATTATTTCCTGTCTCTCTCACAGTTGTTCCACAAATGTCTGGGGTTGTCGGTAACCAGGCAACCAGACATCTCACCTACCCCGCTGGCCAATGGGGAGGGGAGTTTAAATTAGCAGCAGATGCACCTCCATGGCAACCACGCCTCACAGCAGGGCCCTGCATACTTTGACCTTGTGAAAATATAGAACCTGATATCTACAAACAACTCTTATCAGCCATGTATAAACACATCTCCAACAAGAGAGACCTTACAAACGATGTATGGAGTAGTCATAATAGTTCTCGTTTGACAAAAAAAGCCTCCTGTAAGCAAATAGCAAATGGTAGACTGGTAATGACTAGACGTGTGATAACAGGCAGATATTCACACCTAAAAACCCGACTGTTTCACAGCTTGGTTCCTGTGTGCAAAGCGAGCTTTTGCGGATATTACCGAGCTGCCTCCGCGATGGAAGATGACGTTATTTACATTCCAGCATCGTCACAGAGTTGCGGAAGCTGCAAGGCTGGACTAATCCCCGTTTTCGAGTCGAGCAGTCTGGGAAGCAGTGACATATTCTGTTCGGCTCCCCTCCAAGTGGGCCTGCATTGAAATTCAGACCACATGACTGGGGTAGGCTGCGCTGACATCACTCCAGTGTGCGTAACAATTCTTGTAGTGGGTAATAACAAGATGGGACACCAGACTGGAAATCCATTCAAGAAATGAACCCCCCGAGGATTATTCATCACTCAAAAAGAAGAGGAAATTTTCAGAGAAATTTAGAAATAGCAGATATTATCTTTACTTCTTAATCACACTCTAGAAAAGGATCACAAAGAAAACAGTGATATCGTTTTATTTAAATAAATCAACAGTACTTAGGGAGCTGTAATAACTAGTCCAAACCAGTGCAAGAATGTCTGTCCTCACACTGTATCAACCACCATGAAGGAGACTGGGGCTAAGCGGTCACATTATAGCTATACATATTTCCTCCGTGTAATTTCGATTCAGCCTGGTCAAACACAGCCACAAGGAAAACACATCTTCTATCTCTTCCACACAGGGAAACAGGCGGCCATATTACTAAAACACCCCTATATGCATGATTATACCACGTCGTTGGTCACAAACGCGGACCATCAGCTATTCTGGGCAGATCTGCCGACTAATGCCGCTGTATATTCATTGATCTTCTCCACCATCATCCTACATCACGGTTGCCATGCCAACCATATGCCCACGCCATGAAAACCAATTTGCAGCACCAACCATTTAATGAGCAGGAAGGCCCGAAATAATCCAATACAGACACACATGGGCTGCATAATTACAATATCACCCATGGACGCCACTGGTGCTAGGGAGAGGTAATATACATGTACAAATATCAATTTATACATCCTGCCGGCGGCAAAATAATCTGATAAATCACAATGTAACAACGACTTTTATAACTGAATAGCTACCACCAATGTAGCATCTGGACATAGCAGATGTTTAAACATGTCACTAGCCTCTTCTCCCAAAAATAACAAGAGGAAGAAAATCCTTTTATCTAAGAACATCAGACAAATCAAAGTAATCAACCTATTTTCTATCGAGATTGTTAAAATGATAAAGAGAAATGTAGAAGAGTAGAACAGGTTTGTACAGGTTTCTTCCCACTTGAAAATCTCACAGATCAGGAAAATAAATGTACTTGACTGCTTGCTTGCAAACGTGTACTAAATGACCTTCACAAGGAGCCTTTCTTACCACAGACATCACGCTGCTGGTAAAATCCAATCTTCAGATACAACCCAATGGCGGCTTTTACTGTTGGGCGAGTAGACGGCATAAGCACCAGATCACCCCTCTCATTCGGAACTGCTGCTGCCTCTACAGCAAGCTGATCAAGATAGCCCTAAAACCCAATCACAGAGGAAACAGAAAATTGCTCCACATCCAGATGCGCAGCCGACAGTGCGGCCTCATCTGTTGCTATGCAACAAATGCGGAGGAGAACAGCTGGCCAATGAGAGGGGCTTCCATGGAAGCTATACATCCCCATAAGGGGGGCCCAGAGTAAATCGCAATCTACGCCAGGCATGCATAATTCGGTGCCATCTGACAGCCAGTGCTGGCATGATCCTGTAAGTAATGCCTCCAGTGCGTCAGTTGCTAAGTAACCATTGATTCTGTGAGGTACAAGCCACACATTACCCACAGTGGGAGATGAGGAACACTTGTCCCAGGCCCTGTAATTTCTCCTCCAACCTTTAGGCAGGATGTGCACTTGCTTGGAGAATATAAGGTCCTCCATACACGGCAAGATCAAAATAGAAACAAAATTCCAACAGTACATTGCTTCCAAACAAGCGGGGAAGAGCACCTCACATAGCAAACAGGGCAGATGTTTATATTTGGGTAGGCTATAGATCACATTTGGAGTGCCTCCTGCAGTTGAAAACCTCTGACCTTTGTTCCTTTAGATCAATGTCTGCACATGGGTCCTCCATCAATACCTGTACCCTGACACCCCTATCATGCCTCAGTCCTTCAGGTGCTGAATGGAGTAGAACTGAGTTATGGACAGGCCAAGATTGGCTTATTTGCACAACAGAAGACGTTCAATTACGTACGCCGGGATTTTCCGAACACCGCAACATTCTGGAATACATTATTTGGGGCATCATCATCAAATCAATTATTCAGCAGGAAAGATAAGGTGCATGTTAGCACTGATTATGCATCACATGGTTTTAGGTAACAGGACATCCAGAAATGGCAGCAGGCAGCACATCCATCATTTTCAAGGGAATGTGTCACATTAATCCTAACATAGGCCGACTGAGCAACCATACTCTTACCGCGGGGAAAATAGCTTCTTATGTTAGCAATTTTTGAGGTACACTTCAAAGGGAGAGTAATTAATGTATAGCCTACGGCGGTATCTTTTTTTCTTCTAAAAATGACGTCCGAAGCTTCATATCATTTATACGTCATTAATGGCTGCCTGTTTGCTGGTGTAGAGTTACAGCTGCACTGCACTCGAGGGACCCATGAAAACTGGGAATGAAGGTCAGGAAAAAACACAAGCCCATGTCCCATCCATCCCCCATCATGTAAACAAGGCTAGCCCAGAGCCTGGTGTATAAACACAACCCCTCTCTCTCCCTGCCTCCAGCCTGGCATACTTCATCAAAGCTGTCCATATGTAGGCAGCAGGGCTGCTTATCTTACCACTTCTGGGAAACTTCCTGTGGGGAAACACACAACAGCCTGCTGTCTCTGGACCAGGGGAAACACAATACCCTGACATCAGGGCAGGGAAGATGGGCAGCCAGAACAAAATTAATGAAATATAGGTGATATATTACACTTCACTTTAGGGAGCAGTTTATACATAGATCCATGCTGGTTTGACATTGGTGAATAATATATATATATATATTCTTTGTAGGTATGTGAATTTTCTCATTATTATTCACTGAGCTGAATAGTAGATACTTACATGTTTGTATCTTACAGGGCCAAGTATCCTTCTGCAATTATTCTAGAGATATGACTTCCCAAAATCATGAAAGAGGACAAAATTCAGTTGAAAAAGAATTACATTTGTACTTGTATGTGTGTTCAACTTCAAGAGTAATTTAAGACCTCAGGTTGGATGATCCACTGCAGTTATCCTTTTTCAGTGCTTTGAGCTTCATCTCCTATCCTGGTAAACATTGATTATGAGAACCTTTGTGCATCCTGTTTTTGTGCAGAACAGTGACATTGAGCCACCTCAGCTGCTGTACCCATAACATCAGGAATCCTTGGCAGCCATGGAGAGGGTCATCACCAGTTTCTGTGCCAGTAAAGCTAACATCGTAACTTGGATTCAGCCAACAACAGAAGTTATCACCACTGGAAAACAAACTTTGGTATAAAAAAGCAGTCTTTCTCACAGCACACATTGTTTTGCAAATCTGGTCACAAAAGATGAAAAGGATACAAAAATAGATAAAGGGTCACTTTCCGCACCTAAGTGTAATGTTTTGGTTTCTCATGCCAAAATACTATTGACTTGATACAGAAACTGAGGGATACGAGTGGAGTCGAAATACAAATAAAGGGTCCATTACCCTACTGAGTGGCACTGGACCATAAAACAATTAGGTAGAACTAATGAACTTGAAAAGAGAAAGGGAAGGATACTTTGTTCCACTTGAACACCCGATCTCCAACACCACAAAGGAAAGAAGTGTTTTCCTTTTGTTCCATGTACCTGTAAACAACTGAACAATGAAACTTCGACCACAGGTTTTCACACAACAGATAGGGTGATTTGCATACATCTGATAACCAGAGAAAAGGCTGACAAGAGTCCTGCTGGGAGGGACTGCTGGAGTACTTTGTGTGTATAACGTGTATAAATACTAGTACATTTTGTACTGGTACTATTGGGGAGAAACAGCCTTTCTGTCCTACAGTTTTGCCCCGAGGGCTGGCATAATGACTGGCTTGTCAACAGCTGAGCTGAGAACTTAGGCTGGAAACATCAACACAAATGTGCTGATAATATTTATTCATTAAATTTACCCAAGCAGCAAGGATGAACGTTTTCAAGAAATTCTTCAAAGTGGGATTCAAGGTGGATTTCAGAAATGATATATAAATCAAAGAAGGCACCCCGTCCCAGGGACCTACTTTCAAAGTTGAACTCAGGTAGCCCCTGTGCTGAGTACAAAGGCGACCATGCAAAACTTGTGGCAGTCAGAACAATAACACTGAAGTCACACAATAGCATGTCCTTCTAGTACGTCAAAAAAGTATTTCCTTTCGTCAGGTTTCCAACTGTACTAAGGAAAGGGGAAGTCGCCCCACGCCCCCACAGTACTAGTCACTACTGGTGAAAATGGAGCCAGTGGAAATGCTAGAGAATGTGGAACCTTTGGAATGACCTCATGCACATTTGTGGGCGACCCATCCCCCATCCCACACCACATGGCGTGCACCAACGGTCTTTGTTCAGGGGCCGCCAAAACACACTCACCTTCCAAACGGCCACGTTTACAGGACACCCTGTTCCTTCTGTACTGGGCTTTTACGTGGTGGTTCAAAAATCCCCAAAACTTGGGCCCCACAACTAGAGGTGCGGAAGACACTGCGCCAGTGCAGCGGTTCCAACAGCCAACCCTGTCTCGTGACGTGCGTACCGGCTTCATCATGGTTAGTGGTCAGGCCGAATCTCAACACTTTCCGGCCGAAAATCAGTCAAAAAACGCCCCGAACATTCATGACAGACAAAATACAACACTTCCACACCGATCCTGAAAACGTTAGGGTCACTTACGTAGCGGTAAAGGAATCACATCGACGTGAATATCGTGGAAAGACGCCACCGTCACTAGCGATATCTGATCTCCAGTCTTAGTGTGTGTGAGCTCCGCAGGCTGCTTCCCCAACCCGCCTGCTGTCCGTCATACATCATCCACGTACGCCACCCGTTACCATGCCACCCCGGATCTCCGCCCAGTCCGCCCAACAACCTGATATTTTACCAAAACTCTCAATTCTGAGGTAACAAAATTCCACTCTATCATATCCTAGAGGATTTCTTGATGAGATTGATACAAGTTGTATCAAGTTTCACGGCTAACCTGTGGCAAAAGGGAAGGTTTTTGCTACAGTGCGGGGAGCAGGTCCGGTTCCTGGAACGGCGTTACTTGGCGTAGGGGCAACCAATCAGCGCGCGGGACCCGGCAGACATGTTGGACTGTTGACCTGCGGACAAAATGGCGCCAAAATCCAGTATGTAAAGGACAAGCGTTGCTATTGGTTGCAGGCACGCCATGGCGCAATGTCCCGCACGAGCAAATAGTTGCGCTTTAGCTTCTGCATTCGAAATTACGGGCAGCACAGAAATTAATGACTGCTTTAGGAAACGATTGGGTGAGTTATAGGAAATGAATAGCTATGGATAGAATACTGGTAACTTGTTAACATTATGTCAAAAAGAGTAAAGACATTAGATTTATAGTTTGATGAAAGAGACCTTAAAAGGCCTTTAAATCTCCTTGCTTAGATACCATATAAAACACCTAGCAATTTAGAAATTTAAAAAGAAACCATTAGGACTTTTCAATATTGCCTCAATTATTTGCCGTAAGCAGCACTGCATTAGGAGTTAGAAGCTACTTTTCAACCATGCACTTAGCGCATGCAGCGCTAAGTGCCCTTGTGTGGTACAGTTGCCAGTAATGGCATGGCAAGTACGAAGTACATGTGTATTCTTAAGTTTGGTCACCTCTGGCTGTATTGTAGGGTTTACACCAGGGCATATGCATAGAGAATCTTGCAGAGAGCACAGCTATTGAAGACTCAGGATCTAAATGACTTTCATATTCAATATGAAAGTCACCTACACTGAAACCAAAATACACAGGTTTAATGGGAAGTTTAATAGCCAGGGCACTATCCTCTTTAATCATACAAGGGGAGTGACCATAAACTAATGGAGGATGGTACCCAGGCTAATGGAAGTGGTTAAGCATAGATATTGATGGATGCACAGGATACTGGTAATGCAAAATTTTTCTGGGTGATTTAATTTTCCCAGTTTTCCTGTGACCTCTCCACAGCAAATTCATGCCATGAATATGCCTTCCTTGTATCACTACTGTGTTACAGAATTGTTTCAACCACAAATTTAAAACACAAAAAAAACCTCTTTTTCCTTCCTACCAAAAAACTACATCAAAATCAAGTGCATTTACAGTACAACATGGCTTCAAATTACAATTATAAGTTAAATGTTATGCATTTTGCTACCTTATTATCTGTAAAAACAAAGAAGTCTACAGCTAGGAAAAGAAGCCAGTAAAGTTCTCCAACAAATCTGTTTTACTGGATGTATCCTCAATAGTTTACATGATGCCATTTGGAAGAAGCACTTAACTGGCTAGACTTGCGGCAGATGTCTTGTTGCATTAACTTATAACATTACAGCTAACAAAGGTAATTATCTAAAAAAAAATCTCATTCTTCCTGATGCTAATAACAATATCAAATTTGTACCTTAAGTAACCTCCTTTCACATTGTTAGTACATGTGTTATACAGGCTTGTTTGGCTCTTGATTTGAGAAAGGCTTTCATATAACACACATGCACATTTTCAAGTCTAGAAGCTGTTGTACAATAGCTACCTACACTACCAATCCCAGTAGGTCACTTCAAACGGAATAGCCCTTCACGGTGAGGACCTATGCTGCTATTTTTGCAACATAGTTTTCCCATTTGGCAGTATCATCTCCATACAAGGACACATTTCCCCAACCATATGTTAGTATTCTAAAGTACAATATCTAGAAAATGCATTACAGTGAGTTTTGTCCCATAATCCAAATTGTGCAATGTTGTATGATATCAGGCTCATATTTTCTATGATGGTCTAGTCAAAATATGTTCAACACACACACAGGACTTCATTATTCACACACCTCATGTCAGCTGCTACCTCTGGGTATTGCTCAGAGCCCTGGATCTGTTTGAGATAACAGGATTGCTATTGACTGCCCCAGGCCATCGGTTTTCATTACCACACATGCTGTTTTCATTGTTTCAGGAATACCTGCTGATAATACCATATTTTCTACTTGAATGTACAGCTTGAGGACCGGACAGTTTCTGCTGGCTGAAAATTTTTTAATAAACCTAAAATTAAGTACGCAGCCTAGCATTTGTGACAGCCTGTGAAATTTTATCAATTTTAAAAAGTGTAAAAAGTGCATACTAGTACTTTAAAGTTTAATTCAAGAAAATATGGTAACATCGCCTCATATGGGAGTTCACAAATTAGGGTTAGACAACTTTGATGAATATCAGATTTAAGCTCCCTCTCTATTCTTAATTTGTTACTTTAGAACAAAGTATGTGACAGCTCACATTCTGATCGATTCCCACATAACAATTTTACTGCCACCAAGCTGCTGGCAATGCACAGGCATACCACTAATTGTAAAAGTTCAAAGAGAAAATGGATAAGATAGCTCAGTTGTAAACTACTCTTTGTACAAGCTTGTGTAATAAATGGTGGTCTAAAAAACATTGTTTCATTTGTGGAATAACCTAAAGCAAATGGCCACCATTGTTATGTCCCTCCTTTTCCCTACAGGCATTTGTGTTATGTCATCTATGCCAGCATTGCAAAGTCCCATTGAGATGTATTCAGCAAGTAATGAGCTGTTTCAAAAACTGTCTTCACGTTCAAGTTTCAGGTGACTTGGCCCACAAATTGAAAGAGGAATTTTTGTCAATAGCATGGCTGACGAAGCATGTCACCTTCGTGACTGTACTACTAGCCTGAGAGATGCACATGCCAATCATCACAACAGGTGCATTCTGATCAGTACACAGTAGGAAGACTAGAATCTGGCAAACAGGCCAAACTTCTAATTGAGCATTTTCATGTGGCAAAAAGTAGACAATAGGAGACAAATTGGAACAATTCATCAGAGGAGGACAGGTGAGTTTACCCCTGAGAGCAGCTAATCTGTCCCAATGACAGGATTACTTACACCAAACACTGGAATCCTATTGCTGGCAGTTAGGTGAGACTCTGCTAGAAGGGATTTTCGTCCTAATGGACAGAGGTTTAACTTTCAACCTCTGTTGACTAGAATCAGTAATGTGGACAGCAGGTGTGTCTCTCACGCTAGAGATCCAGTAGCCAGCACTGTTTGGAGAGCTGCGCTAATCTCTAGAGAAATGAGGCATTTTTTTTCTGTCACCTGCAAAATTGAAAAATTGTTTTTCTGCCTCAAGCAAGGAGAGGTAGAAAGTGGCAGCAGATTTTCCCACGATGCGTGTAGTGATGACACAGGTGATCAGTTTTCCCCCTCAGGACTTTTCAGTTGACTAGAAAATTTACAGCAGAGGGATTAGCTTTTTGACTGTGCCATGACCCACTCTAGGACTGTGAAGGTTAACAACCCGATTGTGACTAGGATTGGCACTATTCCATCTATGGCTGTCACACCTGATACAACAGGATCTACATATAAAGACATGTAGTAAGAACTAGAGTGGTGTTGGAGATATAAAATGCTGTTGCCTTTGAGAAGATTACTGAAAAATAGCAAATGTCATCATCCTTACAAAGGATTTTATTAAATCTATTTCAGAAAAGAGTTTCCAAACACTAGAGAGGCCATGTGTTGTCACCATGTATAGACACACACTCTATTCTAATCTATAGTAACCTATTTCTTAATGTTGAATATAGTCACATTGAGCATTCTGCAAAATAAAATGCTTACAACTTATGACAATGTTGTTTATAGAAGAAAATTAATACCAGGTAAGGAGGTGATTAGTTCCTGTTGTTTGATGACCAAACATAACCCTCTAACATCTATTATCAAAAATGTCACACACCTGTGACTTTTACTATGGTGAGGAAACTTTGTGAATACAAACATGTCAAAGATAACAGATTAAAAAGAGATGGACTTCAACAGGTATATATAGGTACAAAATTGAGTGTAGATAAAAGCAACTAGACCAAATCAAATGACTGATATAATACAGGTTACCTGTTGTAGATTGGTTTTAATAATCTACAGTGTTTGTAGGAGTCATTATGTAGTCTAATAACACAATGTTTTCCTCATAATTTGTCGAATATATGATAGGTCACTGAAAAACAGCCTCCAAAAGACCGTTAATTCTTCTTGGAGTTGGAATGTATAACCGGCTAGAACTTCTGTATGAATAACAATTAAGTTTTAGATTGAAGTTACTGAGGTTTGGAAGAAGGGAGGAAAGGTAATTTCTGACATAATCCCCTCAGGGCAGACTCTCAATCACCCAGGCTTCCATTACCTGTGGGGAGGGAGTCATAAAACAGGCTCTGCCCTGGAATACTTCCAGCCTGCTGCCCCCATCAGATAAGCAGATTTGCATTGATCAGTGAATCCTCACAAACATCACATTTGCAGTCTTCCCTTCCCTGGAGATTTAGGCTTCAAACTACCCGTCTTGATGTTAATTTCTACTATATATGTGGAGACAGCAACAAAGGTTGACACTGAATCAGCACTATCCTCATCCTGCTGGGAATTTATTCCTCTGACGTGCATATCAAATAATAGCCTGATTTAGTTTACACCAATATTTTGTGACTGAGCAAATACAGTACAAGGTCCCAGAAAACTATAAAGGATGGCACCCAGGCTAACTGAATAATATTTAAAAGTCTATTATCAGTATAATTTCTAGAAGATTATATTGGTGCTCCTTTTCAATTTTCAGCTGATCTACACAAAGTACAATATATCTAAACAAATTGTTACCATGGGTCATCTTAGCAGCATATCATACCTGAGTTTATATCTGTGAATAAGATTTTTGGTAGAAAATGAACTCAGTACAGTCAACAATTTCTTTCACATCTTGTTTTACCACGATTATTTTTGCAGATCCTATAGAAGCAATTCAGTTGACAAGAAAAAAGTGAAAATGCCAGACACTAGCCACTGTAACCATACCCATGATTGCATAGACTAATTCTGTAACAATAATCCATTCAAGTACCTCACAATCTAGGCTACAGCCAGAAGTAACTGCTGATAAGATAACACCCCATG